ATATGCATTAGGTTCAGGTATTTTGCCCATCGAAGAATACCTGATCCTATCCTGATTGCATTAGGAATAAGTGTTTCAATCCATATGTGATTAGGAATTCTCAAGGTTCTAGTTATCCAATTAGTATTGCACTTTAACTAGAACTGCAGATCTGCTCTAATCCTATTTCTTGACTAACACCAAAGCTGTAAACCCAATGTGATTAGAAGACCATCTATAAGTGGATTAAGACGATGCAATGTCTTACACAGACTACAAGCGACTAAAAGCCAATAAATCTAATGGCATACGTTTAATTTCGTTTGTCAAATGATGTTACTTGTTCAATATTTTTTGTTTTCTTAATGTCTGGTTAGTGTGCAGACACCAATTCCTTGTTTAATGGAATAAAGGTATATATACAGTATCACGAACCATGGCAAGATAGAACTTAATATATAAAGAATGATCAATTGTGCAGGTTGTTTACTTATTGGGCAATTAACGGGAGACATCAAAAAATAGGAAAATCTTTCATCTTTTTACATGGTTAATAGTTTTTTTTGCCATGCAATGTAGTTCCTAGGTAGAAATCCTGGTGTTTTAGAGAATAGAGTGTCTTTCTGCAAGTAATTGCTAGAACCTTTTCTATTTTTTTTCCCCATGTGTAAAATCAGGGTTATGCACCTGCATTCGAAGAAGGCACAAAGTCTAATTGTGGCAGTCATGGTGATATGCAACTGTAAACTGAGAAGAACAGTTTTGAAGGCAGCCATGATGATGATTTTGAGCATGAAAGTAATGGATACAGTGAAGAGCTGAAGCCAGACAGGCCATGATGATGATACATATGTTGCAAATGACGAATATAATGGATGCAACTATGATGACGAATACAATTAGATGAGGAATGCGATTTTGACGAATTATGACTCAAATAGTCAATTCTTTTTTCATGATCCAGTTGTATCATGTTACGATCAAAGGTTAAGCAATTAAAACTTCTGGTTTTTTTTAATAACTTTTTTGAATTGGTATCAGCCTGAGGAGCGATGCAATTAAGCATTGCTTGCATGTCAAACTATGTGAACTATAATCATGAGCACAAATTTGTAAATTGAAACACTGAATGGTTGGTTCCAAGCCGTTCACACTTTATTTAGTGTAGAGAGAAGCACCAGTTTGACAACAATATTTCCCCAACATTGACAACACCAAAAGACTTCTCAATATTATATACGAGTCTGATGATTATTTGATCATTGGTTTGTATCTCAAATTGTGAATTTATATAATTCAGTTAAATTTATTCAATGTTGAAAAATCTTTGCATAGGAACACAGACTGAATTGTCTCGGTTCCAACTTCCAAGTTGTTCAGATTTTGCTTGCGAGAGCAAGGTACTTGGTATGACGGCCTTGAGCATGACTTCTTCTTCCTTAACTCAACACTGGCAACATCAACAGCCTTCTAAACTCGTAAAGCCTTGGCCTCAATCTCAACTTCCTCACCAGGGTAAGCATAGACTCCACCATGCATGAAATTGCCTCCCTTCAGTAAACGAGGGGGTACTTTGAAGGAGCAAACAGTACGACCGGGTTCAAGGAGATCAACTTTAATGTCTTCCATGATAAGGGACTCAAAGAACTTGTCTGGCAGCCCATCCATTGTCATTGCCATTTCACCTTATTTCTCCAAGAACTTCTTACTTGTTTCCTCATTTCTCCAGAAGCCTTAGCCATCAGAGAAACAACAGATAAAAGAGTCACATTCAACATCAAGGGTCCTAATACCCTTAGCCCAAGCCATTTGCAAACCTCTAAGGAGACTCCATAACTCAGCCTATGAAGGAAACATGCATTTAATTTAAGCTCATGGATTTTAAGCTACAACATACATGAATCAAACATTCAAAGAGGCGGAAGCGACTTTTATATCTTATTAAGCCTAATGCTACCAAATTCCAAGTATCTTTCTAGGTCTAATCTCACTTATGCACAAAAGAAAAGGGAGGAAAGGATGCGACTTTCTTATCCTTGAAGCTCTCTTGGATGGTCTTCGACTTTTCACCTTTGTAAAGACCTTCTTCCTTGTTGCTTGCTTCATAGAGTCTTCACAAGGTACCAAAGTAGATACCCTCTAGTTCATACACACAAAGTAGTGTAAGAGATGAAGAAGATGACCAAGAGGAGGTAAGGTGCTAGCCCTCTCCTCTTGGTGGCCCATTCTAGCATGGTAGAGTGGAGATTTCTCTCCTCTCAAACCCGCTCCAAAGTTGGATTCTTCAAACCCTAGAAAGAAAACGGTCTAAGTGTGGCTTAAATAAGCCAATACAAAAGATGAAGCAAAACCCCATCCTTGTATTTTAGCCATAGTGTTTCTTGGGCTCATTTAACTTATGTTGTCATACAACACATGTTCTCTTGGGCTCGTTTAATTCCAATTTTTTTTAGATCTTGAAAATAGTTTGGAGTTCAATACTAAACAAGTTTATGATCTTAAAATCACTCTTTGAAAACTCATGTTTTTAATAAGAATCATAGTTTTTGAATTTAATTTTTTAAAGTAGGATACCAAACAGGGCTTAAAGCTCCCAAAATATTAAGGCTTATTTTATGATATGCCCCCTCAAAGTGTATTTGAGTCTCACTTTGCCCCTTGAAACTCATTTTGTCTCACTTTACTCCTTTTTTCACATATTTGTTTTGTGTAGATTCCCGTGAGGCCAACAATTTCCCGTCAAAATATTAATTAAAAATTAAAAACTCAATTAATATACATTATGTTTTAAATATTAATCTTATTTAAAATTGAGTTTTTAATTTTTAATAATATTTTGACCAGAAATTGTTAGCCTTACCGGAATCGAGGCCAAGTGACGCAAATATGTGTGGAAAAGGGAGTAAAGTGAGACAAAATGAGTTTCAGGGGCAATGACGGATTCAGGAAAGTGGGCTAATATTTTTCTTGTCTTTGGGGACTCCAAGTAAAATAATAATAATAATAATAGAATAACATTTAAAATATTTCAAAACCAGAAAGTAACAAATAAAATAATAAAATAACAGCTTCAAAGAAAAAATCTAAAACAAACCTTTATCCTTCTCTCAAAAATACTAGGCAGCTAGAAGAAGCAATGAAAATGCAATTCAACAGAAGCAATCCAAACTACAGAGGGACCAGACCAACCCCTATTTAACCTCAAGCCTTGGAGTATTAACTTCAAAACCACCTTAATTAGTTGATACTCGTAAAATATTTAAAATAGCGCCAAAGACGAGGGGTTTACAGTTTATTTTGGCAAAAAGGAAAGGGGGTTTACGACTACTAGGGAACATGAGCATGAAGAAATTATTAAATTTTCATGTTGGCAAACATTAAATATTTTCCCATGTTTGTTTCGATAGTAATTTATTATTACTACACCATGTTATTTGTTCCAAAAGCAGTCATAAATGTGTTTTTTTTAGTCAAAAGAGGTGAGCTAATATTAAACAAAAAAACAATCACAGCCCAAGGAGACAAAGAGATTGTGGGCTAATATTTTTTTGGAGTAGAATTAGCTTATAAAATTTTGTACTAAGTTTAGTATTTTAAAAATTTTACACCGTACTAGAGCCCAGCCTAGCATGTACATGGATCCGTTCTTATTTAAGGGGCAAAGTGAGACTCAAATATATTTTCAGGGGGTATATAATAAAAAATAAAAAAGCAAATATTAATACAGAAGAGAAAATGGAATGGAAAGAAAAAATAAAAATTAATTAAATATATATATATACAATAAAAAAAAAAAAAAAATAAAAAAAAAAAAAAAAAAAAAAAAAAAAAATAAATTGTTTTTATTTATTTTTTAGCCATCCATTGTACTCTAATCTAATGGTTGAAAACTTATGTCAAATAAAAGAGGGATAATTATCCGGTAAAAGAATATTTTTGTTAAAAAAATCGATTCTATGATGACGTTAGTAGGGCTTAGTTTCCACATCATCACCATCATCAAAATATGACATTTTGTCGTCCAAAATATCCAATAAGGCCTTGTTTCTTTATTGCCGATTGAATGATACTTGAATACTTTAAAGTATAGCCGAGCGGCTATACTCTTTAGATATATTCCAGACGAACACGAAGCTTGCACTCGCAGTGAGCCATTTCACTTCTCTATCAACTCAAGCTTCGATTTGTTTTCTTCGGTTTCCCCTGCCTCGTCCTCCGGGTTCGGCAACGGAAAAAGACCCAACCCGCCTAGGCGGCCTGCCTAGCTACCGCCTAGCCGCCTAGCGACCGCCTAGCCGCTAGACGACCGCCTAGCCGCCTCGCGCCCGCCTAGCGACCGCCTAGCAGCATCACGCCTTCCTAGCGACAGCCTAGCCGCCTCGAGCCCGCCTAGCGACCGCCTAGCCACCTAGCCACCCGCGTATGCCGATTTTTCGAACACTGCGATTGACTGAAAGTCTGAAACAACAATGGCCTCTTTCAGCGTCCTTTGGCTTCTTTTGCAGTCTATGCTTTCTCAGCTGCTTCTGGAGTTTGAATCGTGGTTGCAGATATTGACGATGTAGAGGTAGGCAGATAATAATATGTATACTTGCTTTTCTTGAGTTTGAATCGTGGTTGCCCATTTTTCTCAAGTTGATGAATAGAAGGTAGATGCTCATATTCCTCAATGATGATTTGAATTTAATCTACATATCAATGCTCTTGGAATATCCTTTCATGGTTATTGTGAAAATTTTGTTCTTGGTTCATGACAATCAACCACATTTTCTATGTTTGAAAATAAAGGATAAAAATTAATGAAAGACAATAGCAGTGATCCTGAAACTGAAAGCTACCCCCTGCCCATGATCCATCAGCTTTCTTCAAGGTCACTTCCATCATAGCCACTTGGTATATAGTGCTTGGTCTAGACTTATCTGTAAACTGCTGTTTTTTTATTTGGATTTGTATATGGTTGTTGCTTCAATTTTTTATTTTTGGAATTTTGACATGGAAGGCATGATGCTTGTGGTTTGTAGGTTGTTGGGTACCTTAACAGCAAGAAGGCGGCACTGTTTAAAAGAATGATTTGGGAAGCAATGAACAAGGACTATGATAAGGTAATGCCTTTGGAAATCCATAAATTTTATCATATGTGTGTTCACAAGGATTCGGTGCAATGCTAGGGGCTTTCTTAGTTTCTGTTTGTTGCATGGTTTCTTTTATTTGTTGTCTATATTTTTGGCTTTAGAGTCTTTAGATTGAAAATCATTGAGATTATGTAGTTAATCATGATTATCAGTCCCTGCATTATTTGCCTCTTCATTCTCCTTAGCTCTGTGATTGTGCGGGAATTCTTCACTTTTGAAACTGACCTCTTTCTTGTATTTGAGTTTATGTTTGCTGCATGTCATATGTGCGTTGTGATCTGAAGCATAGGCTTGGAAGTGAGTTCTGCAGTTCTGAGCTCACACACTGCAAAACTGTGTTGAAAGTTTTCACTTCAATCTTATTATTTGCATTTGACTTATTTTTTGTTCTTTCGACTATCTGTGTATGTTTTACTGCCAGCGTTGAGTCTTATGTATTGATCTCTATATGCAACTTTAAATTTGGCAGGGAAAGAGTAGAAAACGAGCCAGAATGGCCAAGAAAGCTGCTCCTGCTAAAAAGCCAGAAAAGGCTGTCTAAGTTTCTACTGTGATGGATACTAAGAATGTAAGTTAATAAACTGGTTTACGGTATTTTTGGTGCTTAAATTTTCCTGCAATGTTGATTGTCCTACTTATAATTTATTTAACAAATACTAATGTGACATTTCGTTCTTGCAGAGGCTGAGTTCAAAAATTAACTATGATGCTTCGGATAAATTAAATGAAGAGCTTGTAAGCATCTTTTATATGTCTTATTTTAGAATCAATTTTGCTTTATTCATGCTTTGCAAATCCCATATTATGTTCTGTCAACATCCAAGGTCTCGTTAACTGATGCACAGACTACAAGCGACTAAAAGCGAATCAAATCTAATGGCATACGTTTAATTTCGATTGTCAAATGATGTTATTTGTTCAATATATTTTTTGTTTTCTTAATGTCTGGTTAGTGTGCAGACAACAAATTCCTTGTTTAATGGAATAAAGGTATATACAAGTATCACGAAACCATGGCAAGATAGAACTTAATACATAAAAGAATGATCAATTGTGCAGGTTGTTTACTTATTGGGCAATTAACGGGAGACATCAAAAAATAGGAAAATCTTTCATCTTTTTACATGGTTAATAGTTTTTTTGCCATGCAATGTAGTTCCTAGGTAGAAATCCTGGTGGGTTTTAGAGAATAGAGGTGTCTTTCTGCAGAGTAATTGCTAGAACCTTTTCTATTTTTTTTCCCCATGTGTAAAATCAGGGTTATGCACCTGCATTCGAAGAAGGCACAAAGTCTAATTGTGGCAGTCATGGTGATTTGCAACTGTAAACTGAGAAGAACAGTTTTGAAGGCAGCCATGATGATGATTTTGAGCATGAAAGTAATGGATACAGTGAAGAGGCTGAAGCCAGACAAGGCCATGATGATGATACATATGTTGCAAATGACGAATATAATGGATCTATGATGACGAATACAATTAGATGAGGAATGCGATTTTGACGAATTATGACTCAAATAGTCAATTCTTTTTTCATGATTCAGTTGTATCATGTTACGATCAAAGGGTTAAGCAATTAAAACTTCTGGTTTTTTTTTAATAACTTTTTTGAATTGGTATCAGCCTGAGGAGCGATGCAATTAAGCATTGCTTGCATGTCAAACTATGTGAACTATAATCATGAGCACAAATTTGTAAATTGAAACACTGAATGGTTGGTTCCAAGCCGTTCACACTTTATTTAGTGTAGAGAGAAGCACCAGTTTGACAACAATATTTCCCCAACATTGACAACACCAAAAGACTTCTCAATATTATATACAAGTCGGATGAAAATTTGATCATTGGTTTGTATCTCAAACTGTGAATTTATATAATTCAGTTAAATTTATTCAATGTTGAAAAATCTTTGCATAGGAACACAGACTGAATTGTCTCGGTTCCAACTTCCAAGTTGTTCAGATTTTGCTAGCGAGAGCAAGGTACTTGGTATGTTGGCCCTGAGCATGTCTTCTTCTTCCTTAAGGCAACACCGACAACCTTCTAAACTCGTAAAGCCTTGGCCTCAATCTGAACTTCCTCACCAGGGTAAGCATAGGCTCCACCATGCATGAAATTGCCTCCTTTCAGTAAACGAGGGTGTACTTTGAAGGAGCAAACAGTACGACCGGGTTCAAGGATCAACTTTAATGCCTTCCATGATAAGGGACTCAAAGAACTTGTCTGGCAGCCCATCCATTGTCATTGCCATTTCACCTTATTTCTCCAAGAACTTCTTACTGTGTTTCCTCATTTCTCCAGAAGCCTTAGCCATCAGAGAAACAACAGATAAAAGAGTCACATTCAACATCAAGGGTCCTAATACCCTTAGCCCAAGCCATTTGCAAACCTCTAAGGAGACTCCATAACTCAGCCTATGAAGGAAACATGCATTTTAATTTAAACTCATGGATTTTAAGCTACAACATACATGAATCAAACATTCAAAGAGGCGGAAGCGACTTTTATATCTTATTAAGCCTAATGCTACCAAATTCCAAGTATCTTTCTAGGTCTAATCTCACTTATGCACAAAAGAAAAGGGAGGATGAGACTTTCTTATCCTTGAAGCTCTCTTGGATGGTCTTCGACTTTTCACCTTTGTAAAGACCTTCTTCCTTGTTGCTTGCTTCATAGAGTCTTCACAAGGTACCAAAGTAGATACCCTCTAGTTCATACACACAAAAGTAGTGTAAGAGATGAAGAAGATGACCAAGAGGAGGTAAGGTGCTAGCCCCTCTCCTCTTGGTGGCTTCTAGCATGGTAGAGTGGAGATTTCTCTCCTCTCAAACCCACTCCAAAGTTGGATTCTTCAAACCCTAGAAAGAAAACAGTCTATGGCTTATATAAGCCAATACAAAAGATGAAGCGAAACCCCATCCTTGTATTTTAGCCATAGTGTTTCTTAAGCTCATTTAACTTATGTTGTCATACAACACTTGTTCTCTTGGGCTCGTTTAATTCCAATTTTTTTAGATCTTGAAAATAGTATATAGAGTTCAATACCAAACAAGTTTATGATCCTAAGATCACTCTTTGAAAACTCGTGTTTTTAACAAGAATCATAGTTTTAAATTCACTCTTTGAACATTCGTGTTTTTAACAAGAATCATAGTTTTTGAATTTACTTTTTTAAGTAGGATACCAAACAGGGGTTAAAGCTCCCAAAATATTAAGGCTTATTTTATGATATGCCCCTTGAAAGTGTATTTGAGTCACGTTATGCACTGTACATGGATTCGTCCTTGTTCAGGGGGTAGAGTGAGACTCAAATACATTTTCAGGGGTTGTGTAAAAAAATAAGCTAAATATTATACAGAGAGAGAAAATGGAATGGGGAAGTCAATAAAAAATTAATCACAATATATTATTATATAAAAAAATAAAATAAAAAATAGTTTGTTTAATCTTAGCCATTCATTGTACTCTAATCTAATGGTTGAAAACTTAAAAGAAGGATAATTATCTGGAAGAAGGATAATTATTTGGTAAAAGAATAATTTTGTTAAAAAAAATCGATTCTATGATGACGTTAGTAAGAGCATTTCCACCCATTTGCCATGGCAAATGGCAAGGGCAAGGTAAGGGCTGCTACTATTCATATGAATAGTGGCAGCCCTTGCAAAAGGCTTGTGGTATTTCCACCCATTGTCATAGTAACCTAAAGGCAACCACTATTCACATGAGATATGAGGAGATGAATTTTTATAGACTTTTGGTGTGGGAAGTGAAGAATATGACTAAGTATTTATTTTAAAAAAAATTCTAAAATTTTTAGTATTTTTTTAGATTTTTAAATTTTTTTTTCATTGCTAACGTTGTCGCTGACGTCAGCAAACCTAGGCAACAACCCAAGCTATTCTTGCCTTTGGGCTTGCCCCCGGTTGTGGAGTCCACCAGCTGCCCGAGTTGCATTTGCCCGCTAGAAACTAATTCTTGGGCTAGGGCCCACCTTGCCCGGGCTGGGGGGATCCTCTGGAATTGCTCTAATTGTAGGGCTCAGTTTCCACATCATCAAACTGTCGGCAATTCATCACCTTTGACAATTTGACATTTTGTCGTCCAAAGTATTTAATAAGGCCTTGTTTCTTTATTGCCGATTCAAAGACAATCGGTTTTAAAATATTAAAATACATAAAATCAAGGACGTGTAGACTTCTTCTCGTAGAAAAGTGGTCGAAGAAAGAATGGTCTTGTGTTATTTTCTATCCATCTCTCGGAAAAATTAATTTTCTAATTCAATGGAGAGCACATCCGTCCTTCACTTTAATAAATTTGTGAACAAGAAAAAGTATTAATTGGAAAATTCATGAGATGAGTATCTAATATTTCAAGCTCTAAATTAAATGGCTCAACGGTAATAGTAATACTATTCAATGTGGATGTCACTTGTCAAAGAATTAGTCCACTGCAAGTGGGAACTTGGAAACGTGGCAACCATCTGATCATATGCCACTTGGAAAGAAAAAAAAAATCTATGCAAGACTTCGGATGTCAAAGTAGTCTTGATGCTGGAGTTGTCAACGTTGTCTTTCTCAGTGACCCAAAAACAATTTTCAACAGATATATGTATGAATAGAAAGTGGTCAATAGTTCGTGTTTGAAAATCGTTTTTCTCTACTCTTTGCGTTAGAATAAGTAGTTTGGGAACCATTGACAATAACATGATCAATTTGAGGAGGATGTTGAAGCAACCATGGCCTTTTTCAGCGTCCTTTTGCAGTCTATGCTTTCTCAGCTGCTTCTGGTTTCAAGTGTCCATGGCTCAAAGTGCTACTACCGATCCATCTGAAGGTACAAAAGATATATTTTTTGTTTTTTGTTTTTTCTTTCCTTTTGCAACATAAGTACGTTATGTGATGTGTACACAACGATTGAATTGAGCGTGCAGTGACGGCGTTGCTCTCAATATTCCGGCAATGGGACATGCAAGCCCGGCCTATCCGTGGAGGAGAGCCATGCATTGGATTTGCCATCAATGGAAGCGAGTTTGAAAAGCCAGAGAATAATCCAGCCGTCAGTTGTGACTGTACCTATGACAAAAATACTACCTGCCACATTACCAAACTGTATGTTACCCTCCTCTCTCTCTCCATATTCTTTAGTCTTGTGTTGTTGACCGTAGCAAATCAATTAATTACCAAGTTTAGAAAACTAAGCAGAACATGCCTGATATATCAATTGTCATATTAAGTGCCTGACTGCTCAATCTTTTTTCTTTCCAGTCGAGTTCATGCTCTGAACAAACGAGGGATGTTTCCAAAAGAATTTGAAGCTTTAAGATATCTGGCCGTTTTGTATGAAGTTTTTCCAACCCCCTTCTCTGTTGTTTGGTTTATCGCAGTTAACATTTTCATACAAAAGACACAGGTTTCTTACCGTTCAAAATTGTCACGACTATTTTTTATACTCAGAGATTAATCGCTGGTCATTGCATTTTGTTTCAATTCTTGTAGGAAACTTGATAAGAACTATTTCACCGGTCCCCTACCAGCATTCATCG